GTGTGACCTAGACACCCCCTATAGCAGCGCTTTTGAAAAGCGTTGTCTAAGGTGTAACCTAGACACCCCCTATAGTAGCGCTTTCCCCAAAAGTGCTTTCTATTGGTTACTTACTTATGACCTTTAGCAGCGCTTTTCAAAAGTGCTTTCTAAAGACCCCCTTTAGCAGCGCTTTTTCCCTTGTTTTTTTTTAAAAACTTTTAGTAGCGCTTTTATGGAAAAGTGTTGTCTTTGTAATGCTGACAAAAAGTACTTTTGGTGTAGTGGATGCTAGACATCATACTAAAATGTTTACAAATATTAGTACAATTAGAAGGATACATGAGAAGTGAAAATGGTTATGAGAGAAACCTTTGTCTTTACTTATTCGACATGAACCTCTGTCTCTTGTTTAGTTTTCTTGTCTGGGACAACGGTAGATGAACTATATCCTCTTTTATGACTTTGCAACAAAATAGGAATTAGATTGTCATCGATGAAGAATTTAAAAAGCGGATTAAGAGAGGATACATGTTTCACCTCAATTGGTTGATCAAACTTTTTGCTAGCATCAACCATGCCTTTTCCGACTTTCCTTAGAGCAACACCTACAAGAATTTGACATAGTCACATTAAAAAGACATGATGGGACTGAGAAGGATAATCTAAAAGGTGTTGTTTCTTACTTACAGATTTGAGGGATAAGATCATAACATGTCCGATGTCGACATGGAGGTGGCCTATATAACTGTGTATATTGTGCTTAGTTGAAACTACACTTTGGGTAGGTTTTTTTACTTTCATTTTCCAAAACATCTAAAAAATACTCACAAGTACACCACCGCGAAAATGGAGATAAAAATGCCAAATTAAGCTCACAAGTTGGCAAAGGTGGAAATTTGGGTCGATGAAATGCTAAAGCAAAAACATACATATCTTTTACATAAGAAGGAAACTTCGGTTTAGATATCTTTTTGACAATTTTTTTTCTTTTAAAGTTAGGGTTGCCTCGTAGATAGTTTTTCTATGGTTATTCAGGTTATACACAGTTTCAAAGTAACGTTGAAAAACTTGGATTTCTTTAACATGTGTACCTTTACCTTTTTTTGAATTTAGTCTGTAGAGAAGAAAAAGCTATCGTTAATTAATGCATCAGAGTCATCACATCTACATAGTTGTTAGTTTGGTAGTATTTCCATCATGTGTCGATTTATTCAGTGAAATAAAAGGACGCTTGATATTGAAAGGGTGTAAGATTGATGTGCTAATTGACCTGTTGAGTGAGACACACAAGGTACTCTTCTTCAGTTATTTCAACAGTACTCAGACAAAGATCCCTTTTTCGGTTGAAAAAAGATTTGGGTAAACATTGGCTGAAGCCAAACTGTCGCACTACCAGATTATGTTGGTAGCCAACAAGCCCTAAACTATCTTTGCTAGTTCTGATCCTCGTCGACAATAATTAAGGGGTGAGAAAGGCTTTCCAAATCTCAATGGCCTCAATTTGGTGTTCAATAGCAAGGGTAGGAAGTTCTCTTCTAAACCAATCTGGCCCATGACTCCTACTAATTAAAGGTGCCATAGAAGGAGTAAACACATGATGCCTTGCGAACATCATAAAATATTCAGTAAAGACTTATTGTGTTGAACACCCTGTGTCAGTTGGTGTAATTAGAGCAAGTCTGGTGCCTTCAATCTGTCGATTTTTAATTTCATCATGGTTAGTTGGTATGTCTGCCTTTAAAGAGGACTCAAATGTTGCATTTAGCCAAAAGTTGTATAAGCCAAAAAGAGCTAGCAAACAAGAGGTTAACTTTAGGTTCAAAGTTGTTTAGAGCATGGGATGCAAGCCCTAATGATTCATAGATAGAGCATAAGATCAACTGGCTTAAAAAAATGTTTCGCCCTTCATGTAATTGGTTAGCCAAAGTGACAAACTTCTTGGCTACTTTTAGAGATTTAAAACAGAAAATGTAGTGTGATAAACAAAGTGTCAAAAAAGCAACGTGTTCTTCATCTAACATGTCTTCAATTTGGTCTTCAAAATAGTCAACGATGAAGTTATTGTAGCTAGTGTGTATGGAGTTGAAGCTGATGGTAAATTCATTCTACTAGGTAGGGTAAAAAATGTCACCAGTCGGTCGAAGACTAATGATAGTGGTTACGTTGAGCAGAGTCAATGTAATCATCCCACAGCGGTGTTAGAAGGTGTTTGTCGAACTCTCTCATAACCGTAGTGCTGCGATGAACATGTTTGAATTAAATGTAGGGTCAAACCTAGACAGTTGGATCAAGTCTAAGAGACCTTGTTTCTTCCAAACTTGTGTTTTTCTCAACTCCACCTTGTTTAGCCAATGGATGTACTCTTTTTGATGGGTACATAATGCAGAGAGGAAGGCGTGAGAAGAGACAATTATGTATCTCAGACCATAGTTTTGATTCAAACAAACACAAGGTTTGGTGCGATAATGGCAAGAGAAAACTTCCCTCCCTTTCTCAGTATTTGTAGTATGGTCGGGAAATGGACCTAGAAATGCATGCATATTGTCATAAATGGAAAATGGAATCAATAATATTTCCATATTAGAGCCTTTTCCTTCTACATTGGTGGCTCGAGAATGTAAGCCTGATTCCTAACAAGAATGGGAACTTTAATGGCTGCAACAAGTGGTAGCATTTTCTTTGGGTTTGAGTAAGATGCCATTGTTCAGAATTGGTGAGTAGCTTTAGAGAAGATGAAATTTTGAAGAAGTTTGCAGTTTTTGCTAAATACTGGGAAGTTGAAGATTAAGCAGGGAAAGGAAAAATGATGAAAGAGGGGATATTTATAATCATATGAGAAAGACTATTCATTTCTTTTATTCTCTCTTTTGAAAGTAAATAGTTTGTGCCATTTTGTTAACACGTGTCTTTTTATTTAGAGGTGGAACAGAAAAGGTTATTTAACATGTAAATCCACATTCTTCTTGGGAAAATATAGTCATTATGGAAATCTTTTTGGTGCACATTTTGAAAAGGCATTTTGATAAAGTAGTTATGATGAAGATGACGTTAGCGCACCACTCTGAATAATGTTTGAAGTTTAAAAAATGCCACATGTCTCTCAATGGTCAAAAGTAGCATTTTGGGGGGCAATTTATTTACATAAAATTCTCGACGTGTTGAGTTCGACAAAAAGAATTTGGTGTTGAGACACTACTTAGTTAAATATGAAGACATATGGTTATGTGTGTGACAAGAATAATGTTCGACCATGATGTCGAGTACGACACACTAGCCATGGGTTTTAGAGTTAGCATTCTTCCCTAATTATGATAAGGCTTCTCCTCAAACTCAACAAGTTGAGCCATCAACCACGGCGATCGAGAGCGAGGTAAAAAATCAGATTAAGTAATTGTTTTTTGATCTTATCCAGACATCGAAGACATGTGGGAATAAGTTGGAAGATTGGAAGTTACACAAAGGGTTGCATGTCGCACGTTAAAGATATATTTGTTGTAGACAGTTATTTATATACTAGTATATATAGTGGTTTTAACATCGGGAAACATGTGGCAATATCATTACAAAATCTCTATAGAACTCAGAGTACCCAAGTCAGAGCGAGAAATGAGTTTATGAGAAATATTTATGATTCTGTATAACAACTTTCATTTATTTAATTGAAATAACTCTGTTACATTTTTCTTTATTTTGTTTTAGCCTTTACTACTTTCCCCAATTTATTTCATAGTGGAATTCGACATAGTTAAAGCCTTTAACTTCTTTTCATCTTCAAACTTTTTTCCTGTTACTTTATTCAACACTTAACTTAAAACTTATAACAACATTCAAACACTTTTCCTTTAGAAATTATGCACAAAATACCTTAAGATTTTCTAGCTTGATCCTGCAAGCAATTATTCAAAACTAAGTGATTGTTTACCAAAAACGCCAGTTAACACTTCAACATCTTACCACAATGATATAATCATATATCAGTAAAATCACAAATATTAACACATGATGTACCACAACAATCTTTGCAGACTGAAGATACTATATTGACTAAAATTGTTATGAAAATTTTAAAATATTTAGGTTGAGACTAACTCATTCTTATAAAATCAATTTGAAAGGTGAATATTGCCAATTTATAAATATATATCGAAGTCATATCCTTTTTAATGTGATATTCTATGACACACACCCTCACGCACAACACTAAACATCTAAAGCGTGAAATTTGATAAAATTGTCAAACATATATTGAATAGACTCTAATATCATCTTATCAAATGTGAGTTAGTTTAACTCATTACTACAAAACTAATTTATTAGATGATGATTATCCCGATTATAAACACATGATAAGAGCTTTTCAAAGTAGGACTCCAATACAAAAGAGTGCTAAAATGTATGAAGGGTAAATAAAATTAAAAACTATTAAAGGGTTGAGTTCATGAGTTGATATATTTAAACCTAATAAATACATAATGTGATTTGTTCCTTATCTGAGTTGGCATGACGGTTCAAAATGGGAAACATTTGACCCACTTTATCATTAATATATAAAAATGATAAGAATATTTTGACTCATTAACATTTGGATGCTCTAAGCCTCCAACCAAATGTCAATACTTTTGTCTATGAAACTAAAGTTCTTCTTAATAAAATCTTCATTAGAGCACGATTTAATAACGAGTCAAAATATATTTACTAATGATATCATTCAATATGTGCCACTTTCAATATGCTGCCAAATCCATCCAATTCAAAATGGACTAAATGTGTATCATTGCTGAAATTTGAATAATAGTACCATTTATTTTTGTATATATATGTATATATATATATATATATATATATATATATATATATATATATATATATATATATATATATATATATATATATATATATATATATATATATATATATATATATATATATATATATATATATATATATATATATATATGCACACAACAACAAAAACTAAATGTAGAATTTGGAATCATTAAAGAGAAGAGTAAGTTAAGATGTTGGAAGGAAAAGGTATTGTGGAAGAAACAGACATGCCTTTGAAGATGCAAACTCAAGCCATGTCATATGCTTCTCAAGCTCTTGATCTCTATGATGTTCGTGATTGTAGGTCAATTGCTTCCCACATCAAGAAGGTGCATTATGTAACATTTGGAAAATTTTACTTTATACTTCGATTTCACAAATTATAATTTTTCCAAACTTATTTCTATTTGGATAAAGTTGAATTTTCCTAAATTTAAATTTTGAATTTGTAAAATCATAAAAATATTTTTTTTAAGATTATGTTTTATTTATTAAGATGAAAGATAATTTGAGAATTTTTTTGATATTTGTGGGTAGAGGTAAATTATTCTAACACTTGATTGTGTTTTGTGTTTTTAGGGGTTTGATAAGATGTATGGAAGTGGGTGGCAATGTGTAGTAGGTTCTAATTTTGGGTGTTTTTTTACTCATACACCAGAGACTTTCATTTATTTTTCTCTTGAGACTCTTAAATTTCTTATATTTAAGGGAGCCTCCTCTTGATTTTGGATGCAATATGGAAGAAAATGAGGGTGTACATCCTCTGCTTTTTGTTTTATTTTATCAATTAGAGATTTTATATTTTATTTTCTCATTTCTTAGTGTATCAATCAACTCACAACTTTGTTTGTATCTTTTCTTTTTTAACTTTTAAATAATATGAGATGTCATAAAAAAAATTAGGAAAATCATTCTTAAATGAGTTCGCATTAAATAAATAATAAATAAAAAGTATTGTTGACTATACGTTATGCTTTACGCATTCACTTTTATGAAATTTCTAAAACTCTTAAAATTCAGATATTAAAATTTGGATTCACTATTTACTATCACGACGACGAGCACGATACAAACAAACAATTTGGCTTAAGAGCTTGTTTGGATATTGAAATTCGAGTTTACCCATGTTATCACAAACACAACACAAACAAACAATTTAGTCTAGAGGTTTGTCTGAATATTGAAATTTGAGGCCACTACTCTTATCACAATCACAACACAAACAAACAATTCGGTCTAGGAGTTTGTTCGAATATTGAAATCTGGATTCACTCATGTTATCACAAACACATATCTCACCGACAATCCCAGACACAAAATATAAAATGACACAACTTAACATAAATATTTGTTATCGCATGTACATAATACATAACATATATATAATATTTGTTAACCTAAATCTAACATGACATTTCATCACTAACCGATACTTCAGGACGTTTCAACATATTTAGAATATGTGCAGATGATTTTACAAGTTTCATTTCCACCTTAATTGGACACTTAGTTGGAAACAATGAAAACTCCACATAATCTTACATTTGCATCCATCTTCAGCTCAAACGTACTAAACTTAATATTCTCTTCATTATCAACAGTTGATGAACGATACTCAATCCTAGCCTCTCTTCAATTGTCAGTGTAGTGTAATAGATTCTTCAGTGTGGATTTCATATCTACAAGAGAAGTGTTATCTATGACCCTAAACTCAAAGGGAGACATCGTTTCGTTTAAGTAAACAAATGCAATGTACTAATATTGATTCATTTTGGAGTGTTTGTGTTAGCAACATATCAGGCCTATTTATAGAATTTTTAGATCATTATGGATTATACAAATGTAATCCTATATCAGGGGTTGGTCAAGATATTAAAATCTGGATTCACCCCCTTTTTAACATGTACCACATATACACGTGGGGTGTCTCCGGTTATTGAAATTCAGAATCTTCCCTATTAACATCACATATACACATAATATAAGCTTTCAATGGATAACTAATTTAGGTTATTCAGTGTTAGCATCACGTATACACACAATATATGGTTTGTCCAGATATTAGAATATTGATTTGTTCCTTTTAAGATCTAGAAATGGATGCAGTTAGAAAACTAATGATCTCAAACGACAATGATGATCTCCTTCACAGTGGTGTGGGGTGGACTTGCATGGTTAACACTCCAACGCCCAAGTCAATATAAGACTCAAGATGAGTGTAGTGAAAAATAGAGATTAGAGAATGTACCTTACTCTTTGCGTATGTACTAATTTTATATCTTAGGTAAAGTGGAGGGGATTTTATATGAATTGGGCATAACCATTTGGGCCTTTGGCTTATTGTAAACTTGATATTTTCTGCCTGGTGGAAAAATTAAGTTAGTATTGCATTTGGTGAAATACTAAGTGTAACAAATGATAGAAAAGTGTCAGTGGTGATGGCACGTTGACTAGATGTTCTCGATTAGCATCTTGAGATGTTAGTTTGGGAAAATCTCAAGGAGATATATTGAGAAATTGGTTGGAGGAGTCTCAAGAGTAGATTTAAGTGACTACTTGACACCATGTTAAGGGAGGACTCTCCAACAGACTTTGGATACTTATAAGATTAAGGAAACCAAAGATAAAAGGCTTTATACGCTCAGTAGTTGTCTTCGACGAGTAAGCAGTTACTAAACTCTAAGCAGTTAAAGAACGTGGGATAATGGTTTCAGTAATTTCAAAGCCTTAACAACACGGTAAGATGTGAATTCAGGAGTCTCATGAATTAGAATAACATGTCAATTTCTGAAGAGTAACACTGTCGAAGACATTTATTCCTAGTTAGTATTTATAGCAAACTCATGTGTTGTTATAATGGTTTGTAAGTTTTCGCATACACTCTCTATAAAACTGGAGTACCCAAGCTAAATAGTGAAACCGCTTGTGAGAAATTATGTGAGTCTGCATCCCTATTTTCTTTGTATTTTTATGTTTCCTTAATTGAAACACTTTTATCTTTCTTGTCATTTAGTACATTTCATTTAATGTTGTTTATTTCAAGTTCTTTTTACTTCAATTTGAACTTTATTGTCTTTAAAGTCTATTTACGCATTGTTTGCAACCAGACATTTTTAGTTACGTCTTACACGTACGCCACATTAACAATTTTCATGAAATTGCATATCTCTGTATTAGATTTGACAATAGGAAACATGCTAGCCCATGAAGATGATGATGGTGTCGAAAGAGCCATATATCATCTTAGTCGCTTGTTAATTGATGCAGAAACTAGGTATAACTCAATATAAAAGATGTGCCTATCTTTGTATTTTTCATGTATGAAGTTGATATATTATATAAAGTCGATTGATGTGTTTGTTTATTCACATTTTGACATTATAAAACACACGATGTCGAAACCAATTCTCCATAGTAGAATAGGAAAATAGGCTTTGGCCTTAATGGAATATTCTTTAACATTCACACTGTTGAGAGCCATGAAAGGCCAAGCGGTTGATGATTTCATAGTAGAGCACGCAATGGCAGATGTAGCAAAAAAAATTATGTCGAGAAATCGACATGGAAGTTATATTTTGATGGTTCCGATCACACTAAAGGAACCAATGTTGGGACTCTGATTATCTCCACTCAGGGGATTTCAACTAAATGCAAATTCATAATTAATGGTCGTTGCTCCAATAATGAGGCTAAATATGAAGCCTTGATAACCGAACTTTCTATTTTGTTAGACCTGAGGGAAAAAAGGGTTGAGGTTAAGGGAGATTCTCAACTAGTAGTGAGGCAATTGACAAGAGGTATAAGTGCATTAATGGTAATTTGCTAATGTATTTTGTTAAGGAAAACTCATTATTAAAGAAGTTCGAAATGGTTGATATCAAACATGTGCCAAGAACTAAAAATCAGGAGGCCAATTATTTGGCCCAGATTGCTTCAAGGTATCGAGTATCAAAAGAAAGATTAGAATAACTGATTGAAGTCAGAGACAAGTTGATCTCGAGCAATTTATTGGCTCCAAAACTATCAAAGATGAAACTGGTATGTAGAATAATTATGGGACCTAAATCCCATATTTTTTGAAACTTTTGCATTGACAATTTATCGAACAACGATTGGAGGAAACAAATCATAAAGTTCTTGAAAGATCCAACAGGAACTACATATCAAAAGATCAGATACATGGCTTTAAGTTACGTGATCATGGGAAATAAGTTGTTTAAAAAGACTCCTAAAAGAGTTTTACTTAAATGCCTGAGTGAAAGTGAAACATATTTGGCAATATTTAATGCTCATAGTGGATCATGTGGGACCCATCAAGCAGGCCACAAAATGAAATGGTGATCATTTTGACAAGGAGTCTATTGGCCCACCGTGTTGAAAGACTCCATAAAGTTTGCTAAAGGGTGCCATAAATGTCAAAAACCCACAAGAATCCAACATGTTTCTTCCAGTGAGATACACACAATAATCAAACCTTGGACATTCAGAGGTTGGGCTTTGGATTTAACAGGAGACATCATACCATCATCATCTAAGTCCCACATATACATTTTGGTAGTTATAGATAATTTTACAAAGTGGGTCGAGGTGGTACCTCTGGTAAACGTAGACCAAGAGGTGGTGATTAATTTCATTCAAAGTAATATAGCCTCTAGGTTTGGGATCCAAAAAACCATAACCAAAGATCAAGGGTCGGTCTTCACCGGACGAAAGATGGTTGATTTCACCTTAGAAATAAATATCAAATTATTAAGAAGCATGTAGGCCAAAAGCCAAAGAACTGGCATAAGACACTAGATCAAACGCTTTGGGCTTGTCGAACGTCACCTAAGGAGGCAAATAATGCCATGCCTTTTAGGTTATATTTTGGGCATGATGCAGTTTTTCCTGCAGAAATACATTTGCAGTCAGTTAGAATTCAAAAGCAAGGAAAAATGTATGCAAATCATTATTAGAGCATAATGATGAATGAAGTAGTCGACCTAGACGAGGAAAGGCTAACTGCTTTAGATGTTTTAATTAGATAAAAGAGCGTGTTTCTAAAGCCTATATAAATAAAGTTAAGTCGAAAGCTTTTTCGGTTAGAGACTATGTTTGAAAGGTAATATTACTCATGAATTGAAAAGATAAGACTTTAGAGAAATAGTCTCCAAATTGGGAAGGGCCATTTGAAAATCAATAAGGTATTTTCAAACAATGCCTGTGAAATTGAGGAGTTAAATCCTAATATTCAAATATTATGGGTAAATGGAAAATACTTAAATAAGTATAAGCCATATTGCAAGAAGTAAAGATATTAGCATAAAAATGCAGAACATGTAGCCAAAATAGTATATTAATAATGCCAAAATATGAAAAGCCTTATAAATTTTAAAAGTGCATTACATGTTTTAAAACATAAATAAAATAACATTCAAACAAAGAACTTCAGTTTTTCCCTAAACTTTTCGAAGCGAAGCTTGATGCAGTCGAGTTTTCTGTCAATTTGCTGATCAAGAGCTTTCAACTTCTCCACCTTAACTTCCAGTATCTTAGCAGTTTTGAATCGTTGCATGCTGGTGTTGACCACCATGACAAGCCTTTGATCGATGGAGTCCAGGTTAGAAACCTTCAAATCTTCCCTCTTTTTCTTTGCTACCTCAAGTTTCAATTGCAACTTGTTTATTCGCTTAATCCATGTGAGGATGTCGACTTCTAGAGTTTTCAATTTGTTTTTCTCTTTG